GCAGCACTATTTACAATTGCTAAGATCTGGAAATAGCCCAAGTGTCCATCAATAGATGAGTGGGTAAAAAAGCGGTGGCACATATACACAACGGAACACAATGCAGCTGTAAGAAAAAAAAAAAAAAGGTTTCTTATCCTTTGAGATGACACAGAGGGACCTGGAAAGTATTACGCTAAGCAAAATAAGCTCAGCAGAGAAAAATACCACATGATCTCACTTATCTCTGGAATACAATGAACAAAATAGACAGATAAACAAAATAGACTCAGAGACATAGAAAGGAGTATGGTTCAGACTGACAAATCTCAGAGTAGGGAGGTGGGGGGAAGGGAAGAGATAAATTAAAGAAAGAACTTATAAACACATATGTGTTACCAATGGACACAGACTACAATGTTGGGGGGGCGGGGCAGGGATCTAGATGACGGTGTCTGGGGGGAAAATGGAGAAACATCTGTAAGAAAAATAATAAAAATTGCAACAACAAAAAAAGATTTTTGTTTCTGGGAGAAACTGAAACTGTAATTAGATCAGTTATTAAATCTAGCTTTCGTATTTTGCGCTTTTAGCAGGAGTTATGCGATTTGGGGCCTGTGGTTTTTCTATAACTATTTATGATTCACACACCTAAAATTTGTTGCTTGATCCTTTTACCCATTATTTAAATCCTATATACCCACTGGTTGCACTTGGGAAATGGTCAATGATTACAGACTCCTACTTTATTATCCGTAATTTTTTTCTGTATTGGAAATGAATCAGAGCACAGATGTCTTGTGTTTCCCGGCAATGTGCCTTAGTCACAGAATATTCACAGATATTTGTACAAAGAGGTGCCCTTTTCATGGTGAAATCTTATGCAGAGGAGGAGGGTTAGAGAAATGTTCACAACTGAAGTGATGCATATTGATTTAATTTTAGATCTTTGGCTTTCAATTGGTGGCTTTCAACTTTACTGATAATGGAAATACATTAAAATTCTCAAGTAGTAACTTAATAAAGAGGCAGTACGGTAATGTTAATCTAAAAAAGGCAAATGTCAATGAAAATAATAACAAATGACCCTAGAGCTTAGGCAAAGAATCAAAAGGGGAGAATGTTTAAAAATATGTATGGAAAATAGAAGGAATTCCAGGGAAATGAGCCCCTGTATACCCTTTGTTTTTTCTCCAGGCACTCCTTCCCTGCAAGTGAAGATCAAAGATCCCTGAGCACCTGGCTTCTGATACTGCAGTGTGCACCCAGATCACCTGGAGGTCTTGTTAAGATGAACTCTGATTTGTAGGTCTAGTGTGGAGTCCAAGACCCTGCATTTCTAACCAGCTTCTGGACCAGGCCCTCAAAGAAAGGAAGTTATTAAATTAACTGGGAAGCAGGGGTCAATGGGAATCAAGACCATTCCTGGGGGATGAAGGCTAGTAAAGGAAAGTAGAGCTACATGAGGCTCCAATTAAGAAAATTAGAGGAACTCCACTGGTGTGGCTCAGTGGTTGATGTTGACCCATGCACCAGGAAGTCGCCGGTTTGATTCCCTGTCAGGGGTCAGGGCACATGCCCAGATTGTGGGCTAGATCCCCAGTGAGGGGCATGCAGGAGGCAGCCAATCCCTGTTCTCTCTCATTGATGTTTCCATCTTTCTACCTCTCCCTTTCTCTCTCTTTAAAATCAATAAAGAAAAGAATTAAGAAAAAAAAAATAGAGGATGTAGTGCTAGAAAATTAGGATTGGAGCCAGGTGGGCAACAGCAGGAATAGCACACTTACAAATGTGCAATCTTGAAGATAATCAAGTGCCTATGAACTCACTGCAGGGGCTGAGTAACAAAGAGCTGTCGCTATCTAGTCAATATAGACAATTATACAGAAATGCAATCTCTGCTTCTTTAGGTATATATCTTGTTTCCTTTCCTGCAAAATGAAAAAAAAAGTAATATTCTATCAGGTAGAGGTTTATGATTAAATAAAAAAATGCAAATAGAGCACATTTTCTGTTATTCCAAACATTGTTACACTGGCTACCCTGGGAGTAAGGAAGAGATAATGAAATTGCACAAATCTTCAAGGTTTCCTTAATAGTGAAGTGAGAAAACAAATGAACTATTTTTTGAAACCAAGACAAGACATACTAAAGTTAGCAGTGTAGTCTTGTTGGGTGCCAGACTACCATATACAGCTTGCTGCCCTGGAACTTCTGTTAGGGAAAAAAAGCCAAATTCAGAAAGGTCACCTCTCTGCAAGAAGATGGGAATAAAAGAACTAGGTAAAAAGTTGATTTCAACCGGATGATGATAATTTTTTAAAACTGTTAAACACGTGCTTCCTCCAATAAAAAATTTTAAAATCATTCCACAAATTAGACTGAAGAACTATTTAATCCTCTTCTGTGACTAGACTGGCAATGACTTGACACTTTCCAATATGAAAAATTGAAGCTATACTGACCTACAAATACCTCTCTGATCTTCCTCCAAGCAATGCTATTTTGATTTCTTACTGAGATCTTATTCCATGTCCTTTATTTTCACCCTATATTTCTGCATTGCGTCTACAGTGGAAAACATGTCCTCGGATTAGTCTGGATGATGGCAAACCACCTATTTTATTTCCAGTTCTTCCTCCGCCCTCACAGGTGTAGCATCTAGATTCAAATGGACCGATAGCGGTTTGCGGTCCTGATTCCTGCACCCAGAGAGGAACACTTTACGGAAGGGCAGGGGCGGCACAGTTTATCAAAACATTTTGGACATGGAAAAAAAATAGTGTCATTGTTTAAGATTGCAACTACAGTTTAACCAATGAATATGCAAATTTAGCATTCTTGCGTATTGATTGGACAGAGCTAATACGTTTTTGTTGTTAATCCTCGCCCCAGGAGATGTTTCAATGGATTTTTTGATCAAGTGGAAGAGAGGGAAGGAGGGAAGGAGAGAGAGAGATGGAGAGAGAGAGAGAAAGAGAGAGAGAGAGAGAGAGAGAGAGAGAGAGAGAGAGAGAGAGAGATCACTGTGATAGATTAATTGCCTCCTGCTCACACCAACAAGGGCCAGGGGTCAAGCCTGCAACCCAGATACCTGCCCTTGACCAGGAATTCACGCAAGGTTTTAGCAGCGAAGCTCTAACCGCGGAGCCAAACCGTAATAGGCTACAGTTCTTACTTTTGACGTTGTCTGAATAGCCACCAATCAGACACAGGACCTTACTTTGTTACCTTATTTGCATGCGAGGTGCTTCATAAAACGGACATGTCGCGCTCCTTTCTCCGTTATAACGTTTGCAGTCCTCCCCACCATGCCCGATCCTGCCAAGTCCGCGCCCGCCCCGAAGAAGGGCTCCAAGAAGGCGGTGACCAAGGCGCAGAAGAAGGACGGCAAGAAGCGCAAGCGCAGCCGCAAGGAGAGCTACTCGGTGTACGTGTACAAGGTGCTGAAGCAGGTGCACCCCGACACCGGCATCTCGTCCAAGGCCATGGGCATCATGAACTCGTTCGTCAACGACATCTTCGAGCGCATCGCGGGCGAGGCGTCGCGCCTGGCGCATTACAACAAGCGCTCGACCATCACGTCCCGGGAGATCCAGACGGCCGTGCGCCTGCTGCTGCCCGGGGAGCTGGCCAAGCACGCCGTGTCCGAGGGCACCAAGGCCGTCACCAAGTACACCAGCTCCAAGTAGACCAGCAAGTAAGCGGCTTGACACCTAACCCCAAAGGCTCTTTTCGGAGCCACGCATTATTTCAACAAATGAGTGTAATCTTCAAACCAAAGAGCAGGGTTCCTTTAGGACTCGTGGTTGAACCAAGACACAATTTCTCTAGCAAGAGAGGAACTCTCCCTTCCTTGGTTCACAAAATTGGGAAGAGGGAGAGATGAGTGGAACTGGCTGTATTGGACAAATAACCTTGGGGAGATGCCTGCCCTGCTTGATTTCAAGAGCCTTCTGCACAGACAGCATCCACTAGGTTACGCATATTCAAGAGCTAAGTAGCAAATTATGTATGTATTGATCTAGAGCAGTGGCCCTCAAACTAGTGTGCATCAGGACCACCTGAAGGACTTCTTAAGGACAGACTAGATTTTGTTTCATTGGCTCTAGGGGAGATCTGGGAACTTGGCTTTCTAAAAAGTTCTCAAGATACAAATACTGCCTACCTGGGACTATGCTTTGAGAACACTCGATATATAACAAAGAACAAGCCCACCGAAGCTCCTGAAGGTAAATGAGCCCCATAAAATGTCCTCATGTGTAGTTTTTATTTGAGCCCATTTTCTGTCCAGCATGAACACAGTAGAAAACTTGCCAATACCAAGAGTAAAAAGCTCCTTTTTATAAAAGTACTTTCAGGCTAATAAGACAATCCATAATGGAAAGAATCTGAGAAAACACCCCCATGTCCGTAGCAGCACTGTTTACAGTAGCTAAAATCTGGAAACAGCCCAAGTGCCCGTCAGTACACGAATAGATAAAAAAGCTGTGGTTCATGTACACAATGGAGTACTATGCAGCTGTAAGAAAGATCTCTTATCCTTTGAAAGGACATGTAAGGACCTGGAAAATATTATCCTAAGCGAAACAAGCCAAGCAGGAAAAGACAAATACCACATGATCTCACTTATTTGTGGAATATAATGAACATAACAGTCTGAGGAATAGGGTAGACCCAGAAACATGGAAGTAGGGTACATAATGACAACCCTCGGAAGAAGGGATGGTGAGGGGAAGAGATAAACCATGGAACTTATATGCATGTACTCATAACCAATGGACATGAACAATAAAGCTGGGAACGGTGTGGGGGTGATGGGGAGGCAGGCGTCAATGGGGTAAAAAAGGAGAAACATCTAACAAAAATAAAATTTAAAAATAAAAAGACTCAATAACGTAGGTGAGTTACTGTCTCTTGGAACAGATAGATTAGTCCAGCTCACAAGTTACCGTCACCTCTGGAGGCCTAACTCTGATCAAAACCTTAACTGATATTTTAAACTACAATTAGGAATGACTTCTCATTTCTGTAGATGCACGCATAACCCACCTGTCACAAGACATTTTTTCTTTGTAAAAGTGATATAGTCCACAACTCCAGCATTCCAAGATCTCCACAGTACTTTCAGCACACACCACCACCAAGTAATCTGAACCACGGATTAATAGGAAAACTGGCAACGTTGGAAACAGGCCTACAAGACTTGCCACTGGGAAAGTCATCTCACCCACAGGCTTAACAGAAGTTACAACTCTCTTAAAGATGGATAGGTGGCCCTAAAAAGGGCCTTTGGTTTTTAAAGAAGCCGTAGAGTGTATAGATTTAACCGCCAAAGCCGTAGAGAGTGCGGCCCTGGCGCTTGAGCGCGTAGACCACGTCCATGGCCGTGACCGTCTTGCGCTTGGCGTGCTCCGTGTAGGTGACGGCGTCCCGGATCACGTTCTCCAGGAACACCTTGAGCACCCCGCGGGTCTCCTCGTAGATGAGCCCGGAGATGCGCTTGACGCCGCCGCGCCGGGCCAGGCGCCGGATGGCGGGCTTGGTGATGCCCTGGATGTTGTCGCGCAGCACCTTACGGTGGCGCTTGGCGCCACCCTTTCCGAGGCCCTTCCCTCCTTTACCACGTCCTGACATTGTGACTACAGAAAAGGTTAATCTCAAACACAACGCTAGAGGATGTAACGCTCAGCATTTTTATAGCAATGTGACGGACCTGATTGAAACCCAACCGGTAGGGGCGGTAACCAACTCATTTCCCGCCCTTCCCTCATTTGTCCTTGCTCAGAGAAACACTGTTGAGCCAGCTGCAACCGAGTCCTGGAGGTGGGATTTAATAAATGCTCCTATGTGGGGATATGTATATGTTTTTACGTACAATACCTGGAACCTTTAAGCGGGACATTTCATACATTTTCCAAAAAGAAGCCTGACACTTGTAATTCAGATTTCCCCAAATCTGAAATGAGTTAATGCATGTTGTTCTTTATAAAAGCTAATCTGTAAATATTGTTTAACCCCTGTGAAAGAACATTTACTCAACATTAATGATTTCTCTCAATATGCATCCCTCTAAAAGGATGAGCCTAAGAGAGTATCTTGATGTGCTAAAACTTCTGGGACTGTGGAAAAATAACGACCTACCTTCCAAGTTCTAGGTGAACTAATCATCAACAGTGACAGATGAACAGGAGAAAATAAAGTTTTAATATAGCATATGGGGAATTCATATAAGCATGAAAATTCCAAACACAGGAATGGAACAGGTGTGAAATTTCAAAGGGGAAATAAGCAATTTCCAGGTAAAGAACTTGGCAACAAAAACTTGCTAGACAACGCAGAGACAATGAGACAGAGGGAAATCTAGTGAACAGATTTTTGCATGGAACCCTCCTGTGTACTGAACTTAATTCAGATGTGCTAAAGTATATATTCTAAGATAATTATGCTCAGGTTCCCTTCCTAAATCTGAATCCCATTAAGAAGGAAAGAGATTTGCTTCCTGAGTTTTTTGGGTTTTATTTATTTATTTATCTTTTATCCTCACCCTGAGGATATTTTTCCATTTTTTGTACAGATAGAGTGGGAGGGAGAGAGAGAGAAACATCATGTGAAGGGACACATCGGGTGGCTGCCACCAGCACGACCAACCAGGGCCGGGGACAAACTGCAACTGAAGTACGTGCCCTTAGCGGGAACCGAACCCGGGTCTCTCCGGACCGCAGGCCGACGCTCTAACCGCTGAGCCAAACTGGCCAGGGCAGTTTGTTGGGTTTTAATTGTTTTTAGCTCCAAAGTATCTGTATGCCAATGTGGCACATTTTGGGGAGTGCTGTTCCCAACCCCCACATTTCTTTTGAGAACACAAAATGATATATACGTAAATATTTAATTCATCATTCATTCCCTCGAGGAGTTCCAGCTCTGGGTAGACTTGGCTTTTCTTCCATGGTCTGTAAGGAGGACCAAGCTCATCAAAGCTGTTTCATGAGCTTACAGTGTATAAAAACAAATTCCCGAGTGGAGCTCTTCACCTGTGACACAGAAACAGGAGCCAGAGCATCTGGGAACTTGGGTATATAAAACAAAAACCTCATCTTTATTCTTACTATCTCCTAACTGAATGTTAGCATTTTTTCTCCTTAGGAATGCAGCCAACAAACAGTGTATTGATATATTCATATCATAATACATTTGCAGCTGTAATATACTTCAAAATTATTTAAATACTCTAAACTGTAATTCTTGGTCATGTGCGTAATCTTGTTTAATGTATTGATAGAGAAGCACATATGATAATACACCAATTTAGATTTTTTATAAGATTAATAACAGTATTTTAATATAATGGTTTTTCTGGTAATCCGATGTATATTTTATTTTTTTAATTTTTTATTTATTGATTTGGAAACATTTTTTTAATCTTTACCTGAGTGTTTTGGGGTTTTTTGTTTTTTGGGGGGGGGCGGATTGATGAGAGAGGGAGAGAAACGTTGATGTAAGAGAGAAACATCAAAGAGATCAAGGAAAAAGGCATCCTAACTTCTTGGGCTTTGCTCTGTCCGGTCCTAGCATTTCTTTCTTTCATAGTCCTAGTGAAACCCAGACTTGTGTCTTTTGAAGACAAACATAGCTTGGAAAGTGAAAAAGAAAATCAAATCACTGATATCAAACTCAAGAAATCCAGTGCTCCTTGGGGCATTCTATTCAAGAAAGATATGGCTGTTGGCAGGTACTTTTATTTATTTGCAGCAACTAAGGGAGACAGGATTCACATCCAAAGCTGTCTTCCTGAAGAGAGGTTTAGCCGTTGCTCATATACACTATTTAATAATTACATTTTGATTTCGCCTTTGCAGTTCATTTACCAAATCTTATTCCAGTCAAGCTCATCTGGTTACATCTGTATCTGCAAAACACTGGGCTACATTTCACCACATAGCAAAAACAGCATTTAGTACCAACTTCCCAGGCCTTGAGACTCTTGTCCTGACGACTCTGCTATCAATCTATTTATTACTGGATATAAAAACATAGCTGTAATGTTTCTTAAATAAGAACTTTAGTAGTAAATGTAAAAGAGATTTGTTTTTACATTTCAATCTCCTAAAGGAATTCTGTATAAGTGTGTGTGTGTGTGTGTGTGTGTGTGTGCTGTGCTGTGCTTTGTGTACTCCTTAATGCTGCTGTTACTTGAATACTTCGCCAAACATGTTCTCCAAGCCTGACAGACCTCTATATCCAAAAGCTTATGAACATTTGAATAACTGATCACCACCTGAAAAAAAAGAATTTTTTAACCCATAAAAGGGTCCAACTCTCTCTTATGCTTTACCCAAATCTACTAAATACTCAGCCATAGCTACAACAACAGGCCCAACTATTGAATATTGCATTTCCCATTTTCCTAATTATTTACGCCTTAAACCCAAAAATTACCTAACCCTTCAAATAGTCACAAAAAGCTATGGCAAAGCATTTTCAGTAAAAGCACAGTCTTTTCTTATCAGAAATTACTGTTGTTCAAAGCATCCTTTACTATTATTCTTCTAAAGAAATTCTGTAAGAGCCTGTGTTATTTCTCCTCATGTAAAAGAGATTTTTGGATAAATCTAAATGAGAATCCAGTAGTTGTTGAAATGTATGAGAAGCCAAGAAGCTACAGAATATTACTGGAGAGGAAGCTATTGAAAACACAAAGGGAAAAATTGATATTTTAAACAAAAATCTACATGTTGACTCTCTGACCTGTGCATCTCTCAGTGTCGGGGGTTTTTGACAAAGGCTGAGACCGAAGAAACTCTAACAGGAGAAAAAAATGATGCCGATCTCAAAGCTTGAGCTGTCCCCGTGCATTATAGATTAGAATTGAAGTGATTCGTCCATAGGAAATTTCAATTTTTTGGCTTTCCTGAAATGCAACAAACACAATTCCGGGACAAAGCTGAGACTGTGTAGCTTTCAGGCCGGAAGACTGACCTAGGAACCAATCAGCGCGCAGCGTCGCTGTGTGTTTATATAGACACACTCCCCAGCTTGGTCACTTAACTCTGAGACTTACTATTTTTTTTACTGCTAGATATCCCAACCTACAACAATGTCAGAAACCGCACCTGCCGCGCCTCCTGCACCTACTGCGGAGAAGACTCCGGGGAAGAAGAAGGCCCGCAAGTCCACCGGTGCCGCCAAGCGCAAGGCGTCCGGGCCGCCGGTGTCCGAGCTCATCACCAAGGCCGTGGCCGCCTCCAAGGAGCGCAGCGGCGTGTCCCTGGCCGCGCTCAAGAAGGCGCTGGCGGCCGCGGGCTACGACGTGGACAAGAACAACAGCCGCATCAAGCTGGGTCTCAAGAGCCTGGTGAGCAAGGGCACCCTGGTGCAGACCAAGGGCACCGGCGCCTCGGGCTCCTTCAAGCTCAACAAGAAGGCGGCTTCCGGGGAGGCCAAGCCCAAAGCCAAGAAGGCGGGCGCGGCCAAGCCCAAGAAGGCTGCTGGGGCGGCCAAGAAGTCCAAGAAGGCCGCGGGATCAGCCACCCCCAAGAAGAGCGTCAAGAAGACCCCGAAGAAGGCGAAGAAGCCGGCGTCGGTTGCCGGAGCCAAAAGGGCAAAGAGCCCGAAAAAGGCGAAAGCAGCCAAGCCCAAGAAGGTGCCGAAGAGTCCAGCGAAGGCCAAAGCGGCGAAAGCCAAGGCGACTAAACCAAAGGCGGCCAAACCCAAGAGGGCTACCTCCAAAAAGAAGTAAGGCTTACTTTAAGATTATCTGAGAATGCAAAGGCTCTTTTCAGAGCCACCCACTTAATCTGACAAAGAGCTTGTAGCATCACTTTAACTGCACGGTAGTAAGAGGCCACAGAGGTGAGAATGTTTATATTTTCCGCCAATGCTTTGAGATGTCAGAATAGTATAATAGTGAGGATGAGTTCCTCAATCTAATTCCCAGAAAAGGTGCTTGGGGATACTAGCTTCCTGTACCAGCTTTTAACTCCGTGTTGTGCCCTTGAGATCCAAGCAGATTGTTTATTCATTATATGTGAGAATTTGTAAATAAATGAGTATATAACACTTGTGTTTGCTTCATTTTGTATTTCCCTCATTCCACCTAAAAATGAATGCTGCCATGAAAACTGGAAGCCTAATAGCCACGCTGTGATAATTATTGTCTCTTGTAAGTTTGGCAGCAGGGTAAAAACAATGCAAGTCGGCCATTTTGAGTAAAACGACAGAGCGATTTCAGCTCAATAACTGGTGCAAAGCCTGGCTGACTCCACGGTTCTTCCCCAGCCCGATGGAATTTCAATTTTCATTTGTCGTGTGGAAAGTGAGGAAGTGTTGTTACAAGGATTGAGGACTTCCACCTTTTAAAGGATTTCAGCGACATGGGGTTTGGCCATATTTTGCAAACAGGATGCAACCATCCTGCACGATTTTGTTTGTAGTTACGTCTTGCAAACAGTTCTAAATTCCTGCCTGTAACTAAATTGCACCCTTTTGCCTACAGCTCTAATTAAAATTTGGGGTGGCTCTGAAAAGAGCCTTTAGGTTAAATTTTGCCTGGTGGTATACTAAGTTTACGCCCTCTCCCCGCGGATGCGGCGCGCGAGCTGGATGTCCTTGGGCATGATGGTGACGCGCTTGGCGTGGATGGCGCACAGGTTGGTGTCCTCGAACAGCCCCACCAGGTAGGCCTCGCACGCCTCCTGCAGAGCCATGACGGCCGAGCTCTGGAAGCGCAGGTCGGTCTTGAAGTCCTGCGCGATCTCGCGCACCAGGCGCTGGAAGGGCAGCTTGCGGATCAGCAGCTCGGTGGACTTCTGGTAGCGGCGGATCTCGCGCAGGGCCACCGTGCCGGGCCGGTAGCGGTGCGGCTTCTTCACGCCGCCGGTGGCCGGCGCGCTCTTGCGGGCGGCTTTGGTGGCCAGCTGCTTGCGCGGCGCCTTCCCGCCCGTGGACTTGCGAGCCGTCTGCTTAGTCCTAGCCATTCTTTATAACCAGGGCCAGCGAGCTGCTTGAAGAAGCTAAGAGCTGTCGACGACTATATATAACGTTAGTGCCCTTCTGATTGAACCAGGCATCTGTCCATCAAGCCTCCGTGAGGTTACTACAAACGGTCGACACAATCGCGGGAACTTCCAGTCTGTTGAGACGTAAAATTAGCTGCTTCTTCCCAGCCGCACTTTCAACAGGGGCCGTTTTCTACCCTTTTCTACCCTTTTCGCCTCTATATTCTTTATGACATTTCTTCACAATATGATGGCCTTTCCCCCACAACATAAATTATGACAGTGGTATGTTATTTGCTTAATAAGAATTTTAAATTTGGGCGGTTCAAGCTGGTTTTTCTCTGATCAGTTTTAAAAGGCGCGCACTAGATGTGACTGGCCAACTGCTAATTTCACGTCACTTTCTTGATAACCGTATAGGAACTTCGAGATTTTTTTCCCCTGAACTTGGAAAGATTTTTATTTTTTTTATTATGTTTATTCATTTATATTTTTTGCTATTTTTAAATTTTGTTTTTATACACTTTTCCTAAACGCATCAGGACCATATACTTACTATCTAGCATTCTCACATATAACATTTCACTACGTTTTACACTTTCAACTGACGTTTGTGTAAAATGAAGTTAAAACACTCTCAAATTAATAAATGATGCAAAGACTATGTATGTCTTTTTAAAGTAATGCTGAACCCTGTTAATAAGCTCTGCCTGAGGACGCTTATGGTGAGCGGAAGCGAGCAAAGGACAACCGTAGTAGTGTCAAGAATATAGATTAAGAAGAACCCAAGAGTAAAGGAAATAACACCAGTGAATGAAGTAGTGTTTTCTTATTTACAATCTTCCAAGGCCCAGCCAAGTTGGAGATGGATGTGTTTCAGGATGCAAAACAACCCGTGAAGACTGAAGAGTGGTTTTATTGCTGCGGGCCTAGTATTTGCATCTAAATATTCACCTTTGACCAAGCATTATGCTTTACCCAATGTTCTCCAGGTTTAACCGAGGTACTGCTGCATCGATCGCCTTAATTACCTGACAAAAAACACCTGTCGTTTTCACTGGGATGATTGTTAACTCTTGCTTTTATTGTTTTAAATGGATGGTTAATTTTCCGTTTGGGGTTTCTAAGTAATAACATCTACTGACGAACTTGGGTATAGACGATTTACAAGTAGCTGCTTAAAGAATAATGAACTGCAAGCCCTTTCAGTGAAAACGTGGTGGCTCTGAAAAGAGCCGTTGGTTTGCACTACACCGCGTTCGCATTGCTGTGAACTAATGCAGGCCTCTACTTGCCCTTGGCCTTGTGGTGGCTCTCGGTCTTCTTGGGCAGCAGCACGGCCTGGATGTTGGGCAGCACGCCGCCCTGCGCGATGGTGACTTTGCCCAGCAGCTTGTTGAGCTCCTCGTCGTTGCGGATGGCCAGCTGCAGGTGGCGCGGGATGATGCGCGTCTTCTTGTTGTCGCGGGCCGCGTTGCCCGCCAGCTCCAGGATCTCGGCCGTCAGGTACTCCAGCACCGCCGCCAGGTACACGGGCGCGCCGGCCCCGACCCGCTCGGAGTAGTTGCCCTTGCGGAGCAGGCGGTGCACGCGGCCCACGGGGAACTGCAGCCCGGCCCGCGAGGAGCGCGTCTTGGCCTTGGCGCGAGCCTTGCCTCCTTGCTTTCCACGTCCAGACATGATGGACTTAGAAAATAATACCAACCAGAGAGCAAAATGAAAGCGCAGGGGTGGTACTTTTTATAAACCCTTTTGGGCGCAAACAAATCAGTTTGTGCCATTGGTTCAAATGGCAATTTCATCTGGCGTACTGATTGGGCCCCACTCATTCTTATGACGTAATTCTCAATATTCATCAATCAGAAACAAGATTATAGGTTTACACCTCATTTGCATACCCCATTCTTTATAAAAGCGAGACGTCCTATTCTTTCGCTCTTTTTCTTACAACGTTGTGACTGTAAACATGCCTGAACCGGCCAAGTCCGCGCCCGCCCCGAAGAAGGGCTCCAAGAAGGCGGTGACCAAGGCGCAGAAGAAGGACGGCAAGAAGCGCAAGCGCAGCCGCAAGGAGAGCTACTCGGTGTACGTGTACAAGGTGCTGAAGCAGGTGCACCCCGACACCGGCATCTCGTCCAAGGCCATGGGCATCATGAACTCGTTCGTCAACGACATCTTCGAGCGCATCGCGGGCGAGGCGTCGCGCCTGGCGCATTACAACAAGCGCTCGACCATCACGTCCCGGGAGATCCAGACGGCCGTGCGCCTGCTGCTGCCCGGGGAGCTGGCCAAGCACGCCGTGTCCGAGGGCACCAAGGCCGTCACCAAGTACACCAGCTCCAAGTAGACCAGCAAGTAAGCGGCATGACTTCTAACCCCAAAGGCTCTTTTCAGAGCCACTCATGTTTTCGCTTAAGGAGCTGCGCACTGGCATTCCGGTGCTCAATGGATAGTAATGCTAACACTCGGGTGGTGTCACCGGGTCTCCTAGTAGTAGGCGCCTTGCTTTATTCTTTACAACCATACTCCGTACAGAGGTCCTAGGGCTATGAAAACGTGTACTGAACACCTGGGCTCATTCTAATCCTTTTGAGCTGCTGGTCACCTTTTTTAACGTTTCCGCAGGAGCTGTCTGGGCTGGAGGTGGTGCTTTATGAAGCTTCTGAATAGATTGTCAGAAGTCAGCTGTCTTATGTGAAGCGTCATCCGGGAGCGCCTGAGGGGGCCACATCAACTTTTGAAATTCCCGCTCTAGAAGTCGAATGTCCTCTAGGTGTCGCTGCGGGTCTCTGGCGGGCTTGTTTGTGTGGGTCTGATTACTTTTCCCTTCCCCAGCCCTTTCGGGCTTTTAAAGTCCTGGATAAGCCTTTTATCTAAGGTGTTATCACAGCCACTTACATTCTCACCAAGAGTTCGATGTATTTCTGTTCCTCTAAGCACAGTGTGACACTTGTATTTGCTGAGCAATTGTCCACTGGAGGAAGACATCTGTAGGGAGGCCCATGTACTCTGTAAATTAGGCCCTGTTTCTCTGCCTCAAGTACTCCTTGGTAAACGGTGGAGTTGTGCACACCACATTTCTTTTACAGTCACTTCTAGGCAAAGCTAGAGTGGCTGGAAAGGGGAGTTACAAGAGGGAGCTCATTTCCTTCTGTTTCAGCTCTGGTCTTACCTCCTACTGCAACACTTGGTTCTGGTTCCCAGCTTTGGCCTATTTCCCCCAGTCTGGATTCTACACTTCTAGCATCAGCTTTATAAGCTTCCCCTCCCAGGATCTGAGCCTTATCTCCACCAGGACTCCCCTCCACATTTCTAGATTTTAATAACTAACGTGTGCGCCCGCACTCTGAACACTGTGTTGGCTCCTGCTTCTTTCAGTTGTCTGGAACACCAGCTCTACTTTTGCTTTTCAGTATTCCAAAACCTGTGTAAGGTTTATTCCATTATCTCTGTAAAAATAATCACTAGATTTCAGTTTTACTGACTGCACATTGGCACTATAATACCAAGCCTCCCTTGATTTACGGGGTTATCTAGTTTACATCTTAAAGAATTTTTTAATGGTGCTCCTCTCTGCATCAGGCATTTTGATAATTATTTAAGACATTTTTGTTGTTCTGAAGGAATGCACAGTCTCAGGAGGGTTTATGGCCATCAGCCTCCCAGGTAGGAAAGGCATTTATTCCTGGGCAGAGTGGGTTTCTTCTGCTAGCCTTAATCATGCCTTCCTTTTTTGGCTAACTCAGGACACATAAAAGATGAATTGGAATACACCAAGAAGACAGATATAGCTTAGTGCTGGGAAGAGGAAAACATCTATGTAATAAGGTACACGTTAAAGTGCTAAGAAATCTACAGATTTCTTTAAAAGTGTTCTTTGAATTCTATATAAATATCTTTGGAAGACCATTGCATCAGAAGACATTGGTTGGAATTTGAGTGCTGCCAGGTAATGAACTTTGGTTTTCACACCCTCTGTTTCGCACTCATTGTTAGGCCAGAGAGCACCGCACCATAGGAGCGCCTCGTGGGTCGGGCCTTGCATTGCTTTCAGTCATCAGAACATTCTGCTCATTTTACCTCACCACGCTGGTGTGGGAACCAGACCCTTTGCCATTACGGTTGAGCAACCTATAACCTGTTTGCCAGGTCTTTGTTCCTGCTCCTGCCTGAGGAGCCCGCCAAAGGAGCATTCCCAAAATCACTCCATGTAACCGGCAAGCCCCGGCCAGTTCAAGGACGACACCCTTTTGAACTCAGCCCTTCTGCTTTGCAGATGCCCTGAATAAAAGGCCCTACTGTGACCTCACTCATTCCTCCCTTGGCAATCTAACATTTGGTTTGGAAACCTGGAGGGTTCAGCGGGTGGGGAGCGGGAGGCGGCTCCCCACAGACACATCGGGTATGTCCAGGGGGCTTGTCCTGGGCTAACCTCTGAATCGCCCCCCGCCCCCAGCCCGCCCCCTGCCCCGGTGTTCTGGTGGTTCTTCCCAGTCCTGCAGGCCCTCCCGAGCCAGCCCGGGAGTTCGCCGATCTGGGTCTCTCCCTTCCATGCTGACCACGCGATCACCAGTGGCCAATTATCTGGGGTAAGTGACGGGCTGCAAACTCTCTCTCAGGTCGTCTGTTTCTCTCCCTTTCTAGGGGTTAGTGACCAGCCACTTGTTGATTCGTGGCTCGTCACGGTCCTCTCACATCTGGAAAGACCTTTCACAAGGCCAGGAGCCCACATGGCCTTTTGGCCTCGGACTCCTCTAACTGGGCTTGCCTTAGAGGACTCCCACACACCCTTATGGTATGCCATCCCCAGCTGGGAACCCTGTCCAATATGGCAGCTGCTGTCTCCCTTAGTGGCTTATCACTCACTCACCCCTCTCAGAAATTCGCCACAGGCAGCACTGAGTCTGTCCCACCAAAAACCACCCCTTTGGGTTGTCTCCTGAAGACCCTCAACCTGCTCAGACTTGCATGGGACATCAAACCCAGGCGTCTCATTTTCTGTTGTAATACCACCTGGCCACAATACAAATTGGATAATGGTTCCCACAGGCCTGAAAATGGCACTTTCTATTTAAAAACCTTATGTGATCTAGATACCTTTTGTCACTGCAAAAGAAAGTGGTCAGAGTGCCTTATGTCCAGGCCCTCTTCACCCTTTGATCCCAGCCCTCTCTCTGCCAAACCTGGTCTGCCTACCAAACTCCCCTCTTACATTCTAAACCTCCTCCTCCTAACCCCGCTGACTCAGAACCTAACTTTGAGAAAGCAGATGTTTGCAGGATGGCCTGGCTGCTCTCCTATACTGCCGGTAGTATTGGAATAAACGCTCTTATATGATTCAACCTTGTCTCAGCTTAATTGGCTCAAGTAGTGACAGGTGGCCCAGACCCATTTGTTGTCAGGTTTCATTTTCTGGCAACACTGGTGAGATCACAAGCGGGACCCCTCTGTGCCCTCTGTAGTGAGTACTGGGGTTCCTGCTTGCTTCCTGGACTGGGAGTTCCTGGGGCTGAGGCCGAGACTCCTTTCCTGTTTTGAGTCCTGGGTGCAGCCTCAACAATTCCTGTGGTCTCATCTGAGTGTTCTAGATCTGTAACTCTGTAATTCTGTAAACAAAAGGCAGCGGCTGTCTGTTGCCTCTCATCTGGTGGGAGCCTGATAAGCTCCTGGTTGCAAGTGACCTCTCACAGTCATTGTCTAGTCTCCGAACCAGAGCCTGGTCAGCTTAGGGCTCAGGCACTTGCTCTGCTTGTTGCAGGGCATTCTGTCTGGTATTCTGTCTAATGTTCTGTCTAGCTGTACAAGCAAAAGGGCATGGTAAGCTATAAACATTTGTCTGTGTGTTGTGCGCACTTGTGGATTTTATATATTAGGGTGGTTTTGTTTTTGTCTTGTTGCTTAATTGTTTTAAAGGTGGGGCATGTGCCACTTAGCTGAGGGCCCAAGCTGCTCGTGGTGAGTGGACCCCATGCCAGGGATGGCAGGAACTTCCCAACAGCTGCCCAGACTTTTTTTTTTACCTTGGAGAATATCCCTGCTCTCCCTCTCAAGGCATCAGCCACTCAAAATGCTTAGCCAGTAAAAGAAAATAGGTCTGTTCTGTTTAAGAGCTAGTAAGAGTTCTTGTCTGTCTGTAACAGAACTTCGGTTTCAGATGTTCTTTGCTGGCTTTCTTATCTGTTGGGGACGGTTTGCCCTTCGCTGTTTTATGAACACAGAGAATCAATCCTCTGTCTCTGCTGTTTGACTTTGTGGCACTCGGACCTTGAGAGGGTCATTGTGCTGTGCCGGTTGGTGTGAGATAAGATGCTGAAACTAGTGACCCAGGCCCTCTTTTTGAGAGCACTTATTTATTTACTTTAGAGGTTGTTTCTCTTCTGTTTTGAGGTAGGATAGGATCTCTTCTTATGTGCACGATTCCATGTTGTTACGTCATAAGGATTCTACCAGAAAGATCTAAATTGATGGTTCAAAGAGGGGAAAAGGTCTCACTCCACTCCTGGAGAGTTAAATACTCTAGATCCTCCTCCTGGAAGCCTGGGAGCTAGAGCAGTCCTGGGAAGAAGAGGGAAATAATACCACCCCAAACCCTGTGCAGGCGGGGGAGCAGCAGGGGCCCCATGCCCACCTCAATGTGGAGGGAAAAAAAGATACTTTTAAATAGAAGCCTCTGGAGGCCTAGGAGCTGGTGCAGA